CCCCCAGCCTCTCCCAGCCTCCATCAGCCTCCCCCAGTGCTCCCCCACCCTCTATCAGCCTCCCCCAGTGTGAGGATGTGAGTGTGTGTGTGTTTATGTACGTGTGATGCTGTGTGAGTGTGTGTGTTTGTATATATGTGTGCCTCAAGGTGATGAGCACACAGGGAGGACTCAGCCTTTTGCATTTGTCTTATACACACTCACTCTTCATGACCTCCTGGTCAGTTCTGTTATCCATGAATGGCCTCTGGGCACATTATGAGATATTTTAACACAAAATAATTCCATGAATATAAGAATAAAGCCACAGTTTTACCACCTAAAGTGATCTAAAGATTTAATGCAATTCTTATCAAAATTTCAATGTCATTTCTCACAGAAATAGAAAAATAATCCTAAAAGGCATATAGAACCAGAAAAGAAAGACCTCTGGTAGCCTAAGCCATCCTGAGGAAAAAGAACTAAGCTGGAGGCATCACACTCCTTGATTTGAAAATATATAGTTACAGACGCCAAAACAGCATGGCACTGACATGAGAACAGACAGATTGGCCAATGGAACAGGATCAAGAGCCCAGAAATAAAACCAAATATTGATGGTCAATTGATTTTCAACAAAGATGCCAAGAAGACACAATAGGGAAAGACAGGCTCTTTAATAAATGGCGCCGGGAGCACTGAATATGCACACGCCGAAGAGTGGGACTGGCGCTTTAACTTAAGCCACATGGAAAAATCAACTCAAATTTAATAAAAGACTTAACCTAAGATTTGCAACTGCGAAGCCGCTGGAAGGAAGCTCAGGGAGGTCTTCGCGGCATGGATCTGGGCAGTGATCTCTTGAATAGGGTGCCAAAAATACAGGCAACTAAAGCAGAAGTAAGTAAATGGGACCACACAAACGCTTCTGCACAGCAAAGGAAGCAAGTGGCAGAACGAAGAGGAACCCATGGACTGGGAGAAGACATAATCCAAGCTATGCACTGGCTAAGGAACTAATATTCAAAATCCATAAGGAACCGAACTCCACAGCAAGAAAACAAATAACCCACTAAAAACAGGCAAAGGATCTGAACAGATATTTCTCAAAAGAAGACAGAAAAATGGCCAAGAGATACATGAAAAATACCGAACATCTCTAATCATCAGGGAAATGCAAATTAAAGTGAGATATCATCTCACACCTGTTAGAATGGCTATTATCAAAAGACAAAATACTGTGGAGAGAAGGCAACGCCTGGGCACGGTTGGTGGCAAAGTAAACTAATACAGCCATTATGGAAAACAGTGTGGAGCTTCCTCCAAAAACAAGCTGAACTGACATGTGATCCAGCAATCCCACCTTTGGGCATTTACTTGTAAAGATAACATATGGTTTAATTCGTATGAGGCAAAGTGAGAGGTTTCAAAATTCATTATGGTTATTCAACACGTGTCAAAAGCTGCTGATAGCAATTATGTACAAAGCAATCATCTCAATTAACCTAAGGCAGGATAGAAGAAGTGGCTAATCAGGAAGCCAAAACTGAGTTTCTTAAAGTGAAACTCAAGACTCCAGACAAAACTCTGGGAAATCCTATAAAAAGTATCACCAGCAGGCCGGACTCAGTGGCTCATGCCTGTCATCTCAGCATTCTGGGAGGCCACTTCCTCGGGTGGATCACGAGGTCAGGAGATGAAGACTATCCTGGCCAACGTGGTGAAACCCCATCTCTACTAAAAATACAAAACTTCGCTGGGTGTGGTGGCGCATGCCTGTAATCCCAGCTACTCAGGAGGCTGACGCAGAAGAATCCCTTGAACCAGAGAGTCGGAAGTTGCAGTGAGCTAAGATCACGCCATTGCACTCCAGCCTGGGCAATGGAGGGAAACTCCGTCTCAAAAAAAAAAAGGGGGTGTCACTGGCAGCAGACCACTGCCCTGCCCATCAATCCAGGGCCTCGAACAGAACACCCATGGCAGCTCCATCGCGTCCTCTTTTGCAGCAGAGACTGCCCATCTCAGGAAATCGTGATTCCAGCAACCCAAAATGACTTGAAAATTAAAAGGCATTTACTTACCACAGACTCTACTCATTGCCAAAATCATATCATCATACACTGAAAATGAGAAGGGATACGTACCATTACAATGTGTAATTTTAAGAGAAAGCAGCATTTTCAATGTTTAATTAAATCAAGACAGGAAACTGTGATGCTCAGTTGAAAAATGCATCATTAAAATGGCAATATTTATCCATAAAAGGCTTATGTGTGTGATAAATCCTTCTAACCTATTTGCTTTTAAATAAGGATCAAGAACATTTGACTCAACATAAATCCAACTCCACATTTAACTGAAGCACAGCCTCTGTGTTTCTGTCATTTTAACAGCATTAGTAATGGGATGAAACTTGGCTTCTGATAATGGACTGAAATGACGTTTCATGTAAACCCAGAGCAACGCCATACATTATTCTAAAACATTGAAAAAGCTCTGAAGGCAGCCAAAGAACAAATAGATTTTCTTCTACAGGATACTGCTGAAGAAACAATGTGTGCTATAGCCTTCAGAACACGTCTTATCCTGCTGGTGAGATGAATTTCTTGCTCACAGAACAAAGGAGGTTTTCTTTACCTTTACCAGCTATTTCAAGGATGGATGCATCTTGGCCTCTCTCGTCTTTCAAGGTTGCCTTGTATTCACCATGGTCCTTCTTTGACAACTACGAAGAAAACACAGTCCATATTTATGTCAGACTAATACCACAGTAGAAAATGTAATAAACTCTAATACGTTTTCTTTTCAAACCACTGAAATTCAGGGTGCAAATTAGAGGAATGCGGAATTTACAAGCTATTTGAAAATGCCCTTTTTGTTTAGCCTCTGTCCTGTTTTACTCAATGCCTCATACCTTTGGGATGAGCAGCTCACAAATTCCCCTCTCCAGGTCAGGCATTTTTTCAGTTTCACACAGAACGTCATCCTTGAGCCATTTAAAAACTGTTTCTTTCTTGGTGTTTGCAACCTATGAGATAGAAATCTTAAGTTTAGTATGTAAATCATTCTGACTCATGAGGAAAAGAAAGTTTATTAGAATTTTAAATCACAGAGACCCCCCCCCCGCAAAAAAACATTAATTTTTACTATATACAGTCTCAGACAAAGGCTTATGGAAAAGCAGTCACTCCTAATAACGTCAAACACATTTCTAAATGCCAGCCTCTAAAACAATTAAGTCCTCACAGTGGCTCACAGAAGAACAAATGATTCTCATCATTCTAGTCCATGAAATTAGATGGCATAAAGATCTTTTGGTCTATATGAAATGTCATTAATAAAGTCTTAAGAAATATATTTGGGGATTTCTAAATAATATGGAATATTCTGAGAGGTCTATAAAGTTGCCTAGCAGCTGCTTTTTTTGCAGCATAACATTTCAGGAACAAAGAAAATGAAACCTTAACACAGAACACCCACTAGAAACGAGGACTTTCCCTTTACTGGAATTCCTCACAAATCAGTCACTGGCTAGAAACTAAGCTTTGCAGAACTCCAAAGATAAGTGAGTATTCCAATTCACATGCTCTGCCGGCAGGACAAGGAAGAATTCTGATTCGGTGTGCCAGGATGTAGGACTCTCATCAGATTATAGGAGTCTGACAATTCTAGGTTCACATCCCATGTGGATTCAGGAAGAGTGATGTTGAAGATAAAAGAGTGCAAATGATTCGATAGTGTGCTAAGTTCTGCCAGGGTAACAGTGCAACGCGGCTTAGAATTTCCACATCGCTATGGGAAATGGCATCATTCTTGACTGCATGAAATTTGGTCTCTGTGAGTCAGGGGTTTCATCTGTTTCGCTAACGCTTGTCCCTAAGTGCATGGCTGCCTGCCTGGCACACAGGGGTTACCCCATCAATGTTTGTGGAATACTTGGACGGAAGGTATCCCACTGAGCTGCAAGGTAAGGTCTTCCTTCTAAAGTCAGAGCCACTCCTTAATAACAAATCTTAGAATGGACTGAGGCTGAGGTTCCACAGCTCTAGCAGACGATTCCCTTTAATTCAAAATTTTCTTTGGTGTATATTTTCAATATCAATCTAATTGCTTCCTGTCTCTCTCTGTCTCTCTCTCTCTCTCTCTCGCTCTTTTTTCAATGGAGTCTCACTCTGTAGCCTAGACTGGAGTGCAGTGGTGCGATCTCAGCTCAGTGCAACCTCCACTTCCCGGGTCCCAGTTCAAGCAATCCTCCTTGCCTAAGCCTCCCGAGTAGCTGGCTCTACAGGCATGCGCCACCACGCCCAGCTAAGTGTTGTACTTTTAGTAGAGACGGGGTTTCAGCATGTTGGCCAGGCTGGTCTTGAACTCCTGACCTCGTGATCCGCCCACCTTGGCCCCCCAAAGTGCTGAGATTACAGGCATGAGGCACTGCACCCAGCCTGCTTACTGTCTCTTAAATCAATACTGTTTTCCCTTCCTCTTTTCTTCAAAGAAACTTTACATTGCTGGTCCTTTCCAATTTTACATTGCTGGTCTTTCCCAATAAATGCCTTTCCAATGACCTTCAATTTCTGTTTTCTAAAATAAGTACCTGTAATTAAGGTATTTGTCCAATAAGTGGGGGAGGTGGTTCTAATTTCCCAAATTAACTCATTTGTTTCTTCTCTGCACTCCCTCAACTTCTCTCTACCATAAACTCTGTAAAATATGGGTGCCTAAACTGTACATGAAGGTCTAGGAAAGAAATGACATCACCTCTTAGGCTTCATATGGCCCAAGCCTGACTCACACTTCCTAAGAGTCAGCCCTAACTCTCCACATCTACTGTGTAAGAAACGTTTAACAGATCTTCTTCTGTTTATGAATGAAGTTTTTCTGCGTCTTAAACTTTTAAAAATGGTTTGCTCTGAAGTTACAATGTGAAGGTTTCCTTGCATACATTTTTCTACATGTATTTTTTCATGTAAATAATTTTTAAAATAACTATCTGCACCACATTATTAAATGAAAAACTGTAGACAAAATGGCACCCAGAATCACAGGCTTGACAGGGACACAAACATGTAAATCAAATGTATTAAATTGCACCAAAAAATTCTCAAATTTCAAGTAATATTAGTTTTCCCAATGTCTGTGTTTAAAGATTTATGAATCACTTTAGTCAGGGAACCTAAAATACTTTTAAATATTTATAGACAGTTCTATCCACTAAGATGATATCAGAGCCTACGGAAAGCAGAACTCGCGGTTCTCACCACTGCCCTGGGCAGTGCACAGCACACCTTCTATGGCGCAGTCAGAACAAACCAAAAAAAAGAAACCAACCACAACTAAGTCACCCTGACTTGTTCTGGGCTTTGACTTGATGATTCCCTAATGAACTGATATTTGCAATGCTGATGTCTAAAATTTTGAAGAAACGTACCTTTCTGCGTAGGGCAAATCATTTGAGAAAGTTATTTTTCCAGCATAAATGGACTCGCACGCACAGCCTGTCCTCAGTCACCTGGCGAGTTTCTTCCCTTTAAATATTCATTATTCTTTTCATTTGTTGAGCAAGACTGCTAAAGACCATCGTACTTGCAGCTTCCTTGCAAGTAACCTTCTCTTCTTTTATAAATGTTTTCATTTCTGAATCTTCCTTTTAAATATACTAGTGCAAGAAATTCACTACCGAAAATAAGTCTAAGTATTTTTCTATAATAAACGTATCACAGCTCTGAGCATGTTTGATATCAAAGCCTTAGCTCTAGTTATCACTAAAAAA